CTTTATCAGCCTTCCGCTGTTTCCTGTCCCCATCACCTGTGTGAACACTGTCCCTGCCTGCTTTTCTGCAGGGGAAGCTGAGGTTAGAAGGCCCTGACAGCTGTTGGAGGTCAAGCAGGGTTGGATTGCCCGGCCACCCAAGCTAAGTACAGCCAGAGAGTAGAGAATGGGTTCGCTGCTTCCCAGTGGTTGATGCTCGTCCTGCTTAGTACCTGGTATCGTATCCATTGCATAAAAGTTTTCTTACGGCTAATTTTGATGAAAAAGGGGATTCTCTTTTTCTTAGGTTGTCAGCTGTGTTCTCTGTGCCAACCACTGCCACAACCCTCACCTTGTCCACCTGCAGTTTCATAGCCTTTTCTGGTGGGTGGTCATGGAAGGATCCATGTTCAAGGTTTCCTGAAAACGATAATGGAACATTCTTCCATCTCATAAGAAATTCTGAGTGATTTGGTGGTTTTCCACATTCCTCTCATGAATTGGAAGTCTTCGAAGCGTGTATAAAACTGATTCCATAGTGAGACAAATGCTGCATTCCAGGAAAATAACATGAGAACACGTTGCACAATGATCAGTGATAGTTTATAAAGTATTATGATTCTGGTGATCATCCTGAAAGCTTGAAGGAAGCATCTCACATGAACACCTAAATACTGTCTCGCATGGAGGTGCCTGACACTGAGGGACATGCGATGAAGGAGCACTGTGGTGATTAAATTTTCGTCTTCAATTTCAGAATATTTGCGACACAAATACTTCATAATATTATGTGACTATTTAATGCACGTCTTGGATGTCAATATAATGGATAAATGGTAACTTCTGTAATTCTGATAATTGACTGGACTTTAGCAATTCACTCCTAAGATGAAGATACATCTGATTGAACTAAACTGAGGGAAGGTCATTTGAGGAAATACCATGAAAGCCACTTGTGTGTAGTGACTAATGCCTCCCCCGCAAAAGTACATCCTAGAATCTCAGTACTTGGAAAGGTCTTAGATTCTATGGAAGAGAAATTAAGATTGCAGAAGTGATAATACACCTTGCTAAACATCTTTTCATATAAAGAGGAGATTTCTGGAATTATCATGGGGGAGAGGACAAGGCATGATTCATAAACGAAAAGATGATGAATAATGAAGGGTGAAGGTTGATTGCTGTAAGATAGCAAATGGAGTATTACATAAATAGTTAGTAATCTTATACCCATCCTCTCAAGGTCTATAATATTACATGAAAGAATAGGAAGAATAAGAAGTATTTTGTACAGAGGAGAGCAAGTCAAATAGACAGCATAATAGTTGCACTATATGAGGCTAAATTGATGGATATATCTCTG